GGGACAAACTGTATAGTCTCAGCGGGTTTAAAGATCTGCAATCACTATCATCAAATTCTTAATATTTTTTTGTTTGAACATCTGTTTTGTAAATGAATTCCAGTGATAAAACAGAACACACATGCAAGCAGAGTTTATGTCCTTGTGTTTTTTCCACCATTCATGATGTCTTCTGAGGACAGGATTCTGGTGGACTTATGAAGTATAGGAAATCGGAGTCACAAAGTGAGTACAAGATAGGCATGTTATATTAATGACTGAGTTAATGAAGGTGCTCACAGTTCCAAGAGGCTATGTTGTCCATTTGAATCAAAACTTACTTCAGGTGCAAAAGTAAGGCAACAACAACGTAAACAATACAAGTGACCAAAGAATCCTATCACATCCTTTCTTACTCATGTGTTACTTCCTGGTGACCAACCATTCACTTGAAAATGATGACCCACAAAGAAAGGGAAAGGTAGAGCAACCTAGAGTTCTTTCCTCTTAGTCTTTCCTTACTCCTCAGTAAGCAGAGGTAGAATGTTACTAGGATGTATACATATCAAGAAGGAAAATAAGCCAGGAGCCAGTGGCTCATGCCTGTAATCCTAGCCAGTAGGGAGGCAGAGATCAGGAGAATTGCAGTTGGAAGCCAGCCTGGGCAAATAGTTCTAGAGATCCTACAGCAAAAACACCCAACACCCAACACAATAATACCCCACTTGAGCAAGGGAGTGGCTCAAGTGGTAAAGCTCTGCCTAGCAAGCATGAGGCCCCAAATTCAAATTCTGAAATCACCAAAAAAAAATAAAAAAAAAAACCAAAAAGTTTTGTGTAGGGTTTACAGTTCTGACTGGACAAAATACATATGGATGTACACAATACAAAATACCAATTGGGTAATTTGGCGATTCCACATAGGAATGAAATGCTCTTATATTTGCATAATAAAAATGATATCGTACAACATAAAGCTGAATGGTAAAATTCATCCTAAGAATTTAAAATTTTATTTTTTTATTAAAATAATATTAAAAAGCAAATTAAGCTGGGTGTGGCAGAATACACCTGTAATCCAGTACTTAGGAGGCTGAGGCAGGAGGACTGAGAGTCTAAGGCCTGCCTGGCAAGTCTTTGTCTTAAAGAAAAAACAGAAACAAAACCAAAAAATCTATGACTTGTGGGAGGAGAGAAGAAGAGAAGAAAAAAAACCTCACCTGTATATTTTAGTACAGATAATGGCACCTTTTTCGTCCATTTTGAACAAGGGCCCTACATTTCATTTTGCTCTGAGGCCCACACATTATGTTGCTAGACATAAATAGGCTAGTTTAAGTGGCAAGGGATTAATGAATGGTATTCAGAGCACCAGTCTCTCAGAGAGCCAGAGGACCAGGTTTAGATGATACATAGGCAGAAATGATATCCAGGAAAAACCAAAACAGGAAGAATACACATCCGACATTAGGGATAGTCTGGTGTAAACCCAGAACCACCAATTGGTGTCTATAACTCCAGAAATAAATGCCAGAACTCTATCCTAGCTACCTAGAAGAACCATATCCCTCACCATGGTATTTGTCAGAAGTCCCATCTCATGGAATGCAGCTGAAGTATGATGGGCACCTTCACAAACACATCTAGAATGGGTGCATATGATTGCTGGAAATTAGGTCACATGCTGAAGCCAGCTCTAATTGTTAGCACCTTTTTAATTAATTCACATTTAATGAAGTCTCTGGTAACTCGGGACTGCCATGAAAATCAGGCAATGCTACAAATCAAAGTTCTCTCTTTCCCAGCTGTTGTTAAACATCTGCCAGCACACCACTCATCTCATGCTAGCACTCTAGCTGCAAGAGAGTCTGAAACAGTAGTTTTTGTTGTTATTTGTTTTAAAATTTTCCAGTTTCTAAAGAACAGAAAAGCAAGCTACAAAAGCGTGGATATATTCTGAAGAAGCCATATATCATATCTAACAAAAAAGTATGATAGTTATTGTCTTCTAGTCTCAATAATTGTTAATGGGGCAAATGTTAACTGATGTCAAAAACTAATGGTACAGAAGGTTAGGCAGGCTTTTAGTAAAGGCATGAGATGTTGAGTATAGTATAGATCAGTGAATTAGAAGAGATGACAAAACATTAATTGATAAGATTAAATCAATATCAGCCCCTGTATATTAATAAAATACATTTTTATGATGTCATACCATACAGTCTTTTAAGGACAGGGATTATGTGTTTGGCTTCTCAACTATCTCAAATTATCTGGCAAATGGTAGCCACTCAAAAAAAAAAATTTCACAAGTATAGAGATCACTTTTGGCTTTTTTTCATATTGTACATAGAAAAGGCAATTCTGGATGATTTTCACTGTGTAGATCAGCTAAACTTCTGAATGTGTACTTGAACCTTATTATATCCCTGTAACATTAAAACAGGAATTATTATCTATTTCAGCAATGAAGAAAAAAATTCTGAAAAATAAAGTGATCTGATAAACTCAGTTAACTAGTAAAGAAGCTTTAAAATTCTCATTCTCTGACTCCAAATTGTAGGACTTTTACTTCAGGGAGAGTACATTCATAAACCATTTGATAGTGGTTAAGTAGGGGACTGTTGTCAGGGCTTCAGTTTCGGCATGAAACTAAATCACATGCAATGAATACAATATTCCTAATTTCATGTTGCAAATGTCTTTCTTAAAGAGTGAACATTCTCTCCTTTAAGTTCCCAAAGGCTTAGAATTTTGGTTGCAACTGCCTTTTCTTGAGATTAAATAATATTGATTCAAGAGGTAAGGGGAAGGAACCTTCTAGAAATGGCTAATCTCTTAATTTGACACTTTCCCTTTTTCCAGTTAGAGTGCAATTTAAAAAATTATGGATGCACTTGATTATAAAATAATACAGGAATTCTCAATCTTTCATTGCTTGAGAAACATGAGGGTGTCTTGTATGATTACTAACAATACAGATTTCCAGACCCCAAAGCCCCAAAATGTAATCAGTAAGGACCAAAATATCAAAAGTTAAAGAACACCTTAGGTGGCATAGAACACACTGGGAATCGCTGGTATTGTGCATCTGACATTCTGCCTGTACAAAACATTTTACCAGATGTACATGGTAGTAACATTTTAAAATCGCACATAGCAATAATTTAAACTCATTTTATAGCCTTTAAAACCTCAAATCAATTTAGAGATTTTGCCTCTTAAGACAGATCATTTCCTCTGTACTAGAAATCTTGTCACCTATGTTTATAATGATGTTCTGAGGTTAAGGACTGCAGGCTAATTTACTGTGGTAATCAGTCTCAAATCCTTTGAAGCGTAAGTTCTTATTAGTATTTATATGTTATGGAATTTATTAACAGCTTTTTTAAGTGTCCTTTTGATTTCCTTATCCGAAGACCCACAATCGTTCCAAACAAGGAGCTCTCACACCACTGCAAGTACAAGGCAACGTAATGACCAGTAAAATGCACCTGCATAATCTACCAGCGTCAAAGAAAGATCTCTACTTTGGATAGATTGAAAATGACCGTCCCTAATTCAGTACCAAATTTTGAACTTGAAATTATGGTTTCTGCCTATTGCTTAAATCTTTTTGTTGGAATGAAATCCTTTAGGATTAGTTTTTGAAAAGAAAAAAAAAACCCTCGTTTTATATGAAAATAACCGAGACCCAAAGAAATCAAATTATCTGTCCAAGGTCACGCCCAATATTAGTGACCAAGTCAAACCTACTGCATCTGTTGCTGTCCCCCCCGCCTTTCTTATACCCCTCAATCGCACCACTCCACCCCGCTCGAGTTTTGAATAAAGTAGTTTTGTCTAACGGTCCTACCCCACCCCCTTGGCTTTTATGCCACCGGGTACAAAACCCTCGCACAAGGTGTTAATAACGCGTTCGTCTCTAACGCGTTGACTTTCACGGGTCTTTTTCTTTGACCAGATTTCCTGCAAAAGGCTCTTAATCCTCACTGGGCGGGGGAGGAGGAGGAAGGAAGGTCACCGGGAGCTGACAAGTCCGTACTTGTACTTGCGCGTGCCGGGGAGGAAAGCAAGGCAGGGTAGACTGGGGCGAGAGGGAGGGTCGGGGGTGGGAGCCGAACGCGGTGGTGGGAAATCCCCGCGCACAGATCTGTCCGCCCGCCCGCCCGCCCGCCCCTGGCAAATCCGGGCAGAACCGAGTGAATCAATCTCATTAAGTGGCGGAGCGCAGACACTGCACCAGCGCCGCGGGGGCGGGGCGCGGCGGGGACGCGGGAGCGCCAGGGCCGCCCTTTTATAGGCCGAAGCCCGCGCTCGCGCACCCCCCGCCCCTCGCGCCTCGGGCCCGCGCCGGTCCGCGGCGTTACCTGAGAAGGGCCGGCGCGTCCGCGCCCAGCCCCGCCCGTTCCGCCGCCCGCCCGCCCGCCCTCCCGCGAGGCCGCGGCGGCACGAGATCTGCGTCGCACCTCCTTCCTCCCACGGGCGGCTTCTCCTACCTTGTGAAAAATCGTCTCGGTGGTTGCCCCCGCCTCCTCTTAACAAGATGCGAAATGGCGGTCGGCAAGGCGAGCGGGAGGACCGCAGCACCGGCCAATTCCGCGTAGCCGTCAAAAAATGGCCCTGAACACTGGCGTCCCCCCTCCCGCAAGACCCTCAGTCCATCCATGATATCGGTGCTCCCCCACCCCCTCCGCCTAAGTGACCGTGCCCACCGGCCGAGTCATCGATTCCCGCGGGCCTGACTTTCCGCCAGTCTTCTCCTTCGCGGCGTGCCCAAGGAGAGGAAGAAAACACCTTGTCGCGCCCCCCACGGTGTCCCCGCCAGGGCGCCAGGCCCTCTCCCTCCCTTTCCCGCCGCACCCCTCCCCCAGCTACTCCCAGCCCTCCCTTCGCCACACACACGCTCGCTCACCCCCCTCCTCCCCTCCCCCAGTGGTTGCGTCCGTGACATCATCATCATGGCAACAAGAGCTGCAGCTTGGGACCGAGGAGCCCGTGTGATTCCCGGCGGCGGCGGCGGCGGCAGTGGCGGCAGCACCAGCACCAGCACCGACGGACGCGCGAGGGCTTCTCTCCTGCTGTCTGTCGCCGGGTGTTTCTGAGGAGGCGGCGGCGGCAGCAGAGCCTCCACCGCCCCACGCACTCGCGTGTGTGGGGTGTGTGTGCGCGCGCGAGGCGAGCCGAGGAGGGGAGGGGGCGCCGCTGCCGCCGCTGTTACCGCCGCTGCCAGGTCGCCAGTGAAGGGGAGGCAGCGGCGGCGACGGCGAACATGTTTTCAGTGAGAATAGTGACTGCCGACTACTACATGGCCAGCCCGCTGCAGGGGCTGGACATCTGCCAATCCCCCCTCACCCAGGTCCCTGTCAAGAAGGTGCCGGTGGTGCGAGTGTTCGGAGCGACCCCGGCAGGTAAGCGGGGCGCGGGGCGGGAGCGGGAGCCGGCGGGGCGCCCGGGCCGCTCTCCCCGCCGCGCACACGCGCGCACGCCGCCGGCGCCGGCCCTCTTCCGTGGGTCACGGTCGCGTCTCCCCTCCTCTCCGCCCTCCTCTCCTTTTTCTCCCGCGCGTGACAAGAGGCGTAGAAACGGGGGTGGGGGTCCGCGCGAGTGCGGCGGCGTGTCCTTCCTCTCCTCCCCCCACCCCTCCCGCGAGTGTGTACATTGCGCGCGGCGGGGCCGATCCCGAGCCGCATGCCGGGTCACAGGCGCGGGGCTTCACGGGTCGCGCGCCATGTCCCCGGGGGCGGGTTCGCGGGGCCGATCGCGGCAGGGACCCGGACTGCCCCTGGCGTCTGGAAATGGCTTTGAGAGCTGAGGGGAAGTGTCAGCTCTGTTGTCACTCGCTCCCCCTTGCCTCCGTGGTCTCACCCTGCTCTCCTCTGCCCCTGCCGGAGATGCGGCGCCTGGGGCCAGATCTTCGTTCTCATTGAAGTGACCATGTGGCTCTGCCGGGAGTGCGGGTCGTGACGGCTTAGCCTAATGCCTCCGCGTCTAGGGAGCCGGGCGGTGCTTCCTCGCGGGCAGTGCTTTCAGGAATCGTGTGTCCGTCCATGAAGTAGTAGGAAATGCGTGTTGCCGTCGCCCAGCGTGAAAACATCCCACTTCGTGGGCTGAATTTGTTAGCACCCACAACCAAACCCAGCAGCCATAGGCAGGTTTGAATGCCCCCAAGGTTGTAGGATTGCATTTTAAATATAGCTATTAAAAATAAAGAGTGTTTTGGAGAAGAAGCGGTGGGGCGGAAACCGCGGAGGTGGAAGCTATGGTACTGAAAAGCTCTTGGGTTTTTTTTTTTTTTTTTTTTATAATACTATAATCGGGAGAGTGGCCAGATTTACAAGGTGTTTTTAGAGTGTCTTGCTTTTCTACTTGCTTTGAACAGCTTCCATGAAATAACGAAGCTGCCTTCTGGCAAAGGATGCTCTTACTTGTAGCTGCGTATCGTCCTATGGGATTTGAGATAGCATTTCCCACTTGATGCTCCTTGCCCTCATCACCATTCGTCTTATTACTGCAGTCCGTTTCTGTGGACTATCAAGATAATAGCACTTGGCCCAGTGCAGCCCCTTCTTCCAAGCACTTACCCGTATAACGTGAATTCTCTTTGTTAAAAATGTCAGTGTCGCAAGTGAGACTTGGTAACATATTCCTTATTAAAATAATTAAAGGGATTTTGATGCTGTCAACCTTGAACGGCGGGGAATTGGATTTGGAGTGCGGTTAACAATTTCTAGAAAGTGTAACGCTTGAAACTTTGAAGGCTGGAAAATAGAAGCAATAAAGTGAGTGTTTTGAAGGATGGGGTTTCTGCCCTTTTAAATGTAGTGGTGCTGTCTTTGTTTCGAATTGGAAGTTCAGCGGAGCGTACTGCGTGTTCTCATTTCAGACGCAGAGGAAGGATGAGATAGTGAAGTTGATATAGTGCTGTTCAGCCACATTTCCAAATGGCAGAGGTACATGCTAATAAGATGTATTTGGGCATTTCTGTGTATTACCGTTTCCATGGTTTGGCTTACTTTTCTATGCATAGGTTTTCTTCTTCACACTAGTCATTAAATATATATCCCTTCAAACTGTGTTTTATAGAAAAGTTTTGCTTGTGAAAAAAACCTAACAGTAGTTCAATTATGTGAAGAATATTTCTTTAAAAGTAAAGATTGTGATACATTTTTGTATTTCTGAATATTAAAAAAAACACGAGCTATTAATACCATGATAAATATTTATTTTTTCCCTCCTGGATAGTGTACCAGCCCTCCTTTAAAAAACAAATTTTTAAATCATATACTTTGAAATATATATAGTGTGAATGAATAAAAAAGTAAGAGACTTTTCAGCATACATTGAAAGATACAAAACTCGATAGAGTGAGTCACACTTCAAGTTGTTAAGGATTTTCAAAATTGAAATTTTGTTTCAAGTTCAAACAAAAATTTTTATTTCAGGCAAGGTACATGCATGAATGGAAATGTCACAGTGAGCTCCATTAATTTGTACAATTAATATGTATTAATAATTATAATAAAAACAATTTAGTTATTTTGCTAAGAGGTGCCTTGGAGATGAGGTAAGAGAGAAAATGATAAAATAATTCCTTACATCATGAAAAAATTTTGTTTCCTCAAAAGAAAAAAAATTGAAGTTTTCGGTATATATTTAGAGTTTACACTTTTCATAAATTGAGCCAGTATTTTTTAACATACCAGAAATTCCCAGTGAAATTAGTATTAATTAAATGTAAACAAAAACTGCAGAATTATCTGCTTTTGAATTCTCTCCCCAAAGAAAACTAGCTCAGGCTATCTAGTAAAATAAAGCTCAAAAATAATTAATATGAAAAAGAGGCCAGATGAGCTTAGTAAAAACCTGAATGCTACGATTTTTAATGAAGTCAGATTATTTGAAAAGACAAACTGTATTTTTACTAACAAGTAAAAATAAGTTAATGAAAATTTGTAACCTAACATGATATACCTGTGCTACAAAAAAGTGCCCAAAATAAGTCTTTCATATATAGGAGTTAATTTTGGAAATCTTGATTCTTTACCTTGGTTTTTTGGAGAAAAGATATTTTTTAGCTGAGTTTGCTTCATAAAGGAGATCCTGAAAAATATCAAAAGGAGAATTTTTCTCTTAAAGTGGTTATTTCAGAGTTATAAATTCTGCATTTATTGGATTAATAAATTTTTACTAGTTCGTTTTTTCTATTATTGCATGGAAAGCAATTTTCTCCTTTAGGAAAGAGTCCAGTTGACATCTAGTCCTTTTGGGGGGACATATTTAGAGTAATGTAAAAATCAGTGTCTTGACTTCAAAGGTGCTGTGTCTTGAGTTGGTAACATTTGAAAAGATACTTTTAAAAAGTGACATATTCGAATTTGACTGAATACTGGCTGTTTTAATCACTTGCTGACTGAGGATATTGATTCCTGAGAGAATCACTGAATTTTTTTTCCATGTAAGGGAATTACTTTACTATTAAAAACAAAACAAAAAAAAACCCCAAACCCTAGGGTTTTCTTCAACTCATTTAAAAAATGTCCTGAACATTGTTTTGACATAACCATGTCTATCATTTATAGAAAAAATGGTTAATTTTTCTTTTATAACAGCATATGTTTTGATGGAAAGAAACAGGCTATGAATAAAGTACAGGGTAGTGTTTTCACTGAGCTCTGAGTGGGTGTGCCACTGGGAATTCACTTCACATAAAATCCTGAGGTTTCCTGCTGAGGACCTGACTCAGGTGAGGAACTGGAAGCTGACCAGTTCCACATTTCAGCTCTTGCTTAGTTGCTTGATGTAACTCACCTCTTGCTGAGCTTGGACAACTTTCTGTTTTTTCAGCACCAGGTTAAACATAATTATCCTTTCAAAGAGCTTTCCTACTGAGATGCAGAGTAGGAGTAAATAGAAGAATGTGAGATGTTCACAAAGCAAGTAATTAAACAAAGTAGGCCAAACAGACTATAGAGGGAGCTGCTTGTCTTTAAGATTACTGTAAGGAACCGTATTACTCAAAGTCTTCCTTCAACTCTGAATATTTTGGTAGACTGTTGTAGATGCTCTTAAATATGAGATTAGGTTGGGTTTTTTTTTTTAACATAAGAGATTGGTGATTTTGAAATGCTACAAGTACATATAAGTGGTTATTAGAATTATATATATTCTTATTTATATTTTATAAACTTAATTATAATAAAGTACCAGTATGACCTCAACATTTTGGTAAATTGACAGATTGTTAAATTAAATATGAGTAAAATTTTAAAAACTACAGCTTTTGTGAAAACTCAAGTTATAAAAAAATCTATTGCAAGTCTTATTTACTTATATCCTTTTTTTGTATTAAACTTTTTAAAAATATATTTCTGGGTTTTCTTGGCTAAAAAAATTTTTTTTCTCTGTTTGAACTCAGGGCCTTGCATTTACTAGGTAGGTGCTCTACCACTTAAGCCATGCCCCCAGTCTGAGGCTAAAAATATTTTAACATCATATAATATCTATTTGGCTATAATTATTAGAGATTTTCAAGAGCATTACAGAGATTTAGTAACGACTCACCACAAACAAAATTGGTCGCTTTATTAAGTATTTGAAGTCCTGAGCAGCAAATTTTATTAGCTTTTTGTACTATATTTGGTGAAAATCATAATCAGCAAGTTAGAGGCTTAAGCAGGAGCTCTCTTAAATCTGGGAACACTAGGATTGGGTAATAAGTAATTCAGTTCATTCAGAGAACACTTATGGACTACTTATTATGTATGTCAAGTTATTTTTAGGTGCCTTTGTTTAAAATAACTTTACCCTCCAGAAACTCAGAATGTACAGAGATGATAGATATGTAAACATAAGTGCAATATAGAATGTTTAGATTATAGTAGAAACGTGTATATGATATAGTGAGGAAGTAGAGGAGGACATGTTCAATGACCACCTGACAGGCAGAAAGGGGAGTCAGGGAAGGCTTCATGAAGGAAGTATGGATTAAATCATCTTAAAGAAATTTTTGAAGAATTAAAAAAAAATTCTAATAGAGGAACAGATAGAAGTAATTAAATAAAACTCTCTGCAGGGCAGCTTGGCAATATATATAAGTCCTTAAAATGTTCCTTTTGACCCCAGAATTCTAGTTTTAGGGAATTTAATGTATGATTATAAATCTTTTGGCAAATCTGATTATCTTTTGAACCCATTTACTTTTCATTATTCATCAGGACCCTAGCCTAAGTTACTAGCATTTTTAAACGAGTTTATTATAAATCTCCTAACCTTGGTTTATTCCAATCCACTCTATCCCCTTCTAATCTGATTTCTCACACTGTAATCAGATCTTTTTAAAATGCAGACCTGATTATATCACCCTACTACTTGATAAGCTTCAGTAGCTTCCCATTGTATTTAGGATACAAATAAAACTCCATGTCTTACGTGGTGGCAGCTACCTGTCTCACAAGGTCTTGCATAGTGTGTGGCCCTTAACTTTCTGTCCATTCATGGCTTGAGCTATATTCTTCTTGCCTTGCTCTTTGTGTTCCAGTCATATTGGCTTAGTTCAGTCCCTCATTCTTGTCATGCTCCCTCCCACAATGAGGGCTTTGTACCTGCTGTTCCCTCTGCCTAGAATTCTTCACCTAAACTCCAATTTATTATTCTTCAGAGAAGCCTTCCCCATTGTAGACTCTCAAAGGTACTTCATAGTACTTGGTATAGTTCTTTTGTATATATTGGAGATTAACATCTGTTTTTCTCGATAGATTGTAACCTTTGGAAATGCTGGTTAATGTGTTTCTTTTTGCTTGCCATTATAGAGTTAATGCTTATCACAGTGCTTGAAACTTAAGCATTTATTGCAAGAATTAATCAGTAGATTATATTCATCACAGAGAACAACCCCAGATAGCCAGGAGTCGGGAAATGGTTTGCATAAATTGGGCATATTCCTGTTATACAGTATTACGTGTAACTAAAGTCATGTTTTTGTTTATGTAACAGCATGGGGAGATGCTGTTAGTACATTTTGTGAAAAAAGTTAGTTTACAAAATGGTCACTTAAAAATGAAGAAAAATACATAAAAGTATAAAGGTTTACTCTCACTAGAAGGTGTGTTTTGTGTTGTTCCAATTTTCTACGAGAACATGTATTGATTTATAATTTGTAAAAAACTATCCACATGCAAGTAAGTTAAGGAAAAACCAGTTGTCTAGATATGGTTGAGAAATAAAGCAAAAGAGACATGAGATTCATTACGGTCTCCAAAATAATCAGTCAAAATGCATGTTTATGTGATGATGGTATTGATCGATTATATAAATTC